TAATAGGCAATTGGTTGGAAAAATTCGGGGAACACTCAACGAAAAAATTGGACTTTTATAACAAAGGGGAAAATGTGGTGAAAGTCGATACAATGGCTCAAACCGATGGATTTAATTATTATGAGTCGATTGAACTGAATTCACAGGTTGTAGAGTTACAATACGATGGAAGAGAAACAAGTTTTATTATTGTTTTACCAAAACTACGAAATGGTTTACAAGAATTGAAAACAAAAATTAATTCACAAAATCTTAAACAAGCCATACATTCGTTAAGAAAGAGCGAAGTGGAGATATTTTTGCCAAAGTTTAAAACAGAGAAATCCTATGACTTAATGAATGAAATCAATCCCAAACCCATAGCACTGACAAATCGGGCAGATTTTTCACGATTAAATCGAGGTGTGGGACAAAAAGTGGCCGAAATTATACACAAAACCTATATATCAGTGAACGAAAAGGGAACCGAAGCCGCGGCCGTCACTGCCATTAGAGCGGTCCCAATGTCTCTACCGGTATATCCGGAGAGCTTTACTTTCAAAGCCGATCACCCATTCATGTACTTTATTGTGGATAAAACCAATGGTTTGATACTATTTTGCGGACAAATCAACGAATTATAAAAATGCAAATTTTTCAAAATAGACTGTACTCTTATAAAACTATATATAAAACTATATAAAACTTGATGTTTAAATTTATAAAACCTAGAAATTAACCATGTTTTATAAAAAATTTATAGCTATTTTTGAAATATATGTTTATTTAAAATAAAATGTTATTACTTTGTAATATCAAATTGTTATTTAATTAATATATAATATTGAGACGACTGTAAATTCTGGGATTTCCATAAATAATATTTTTGGACACAACAATATATTTCTTAGCATTTATTTATTATCTTAAGTGTATTTAATAATAAAAAACATTTCTTATTAACATTTTAATATTCAAGTGATTGATATAAAAGTCTAATTCATAATGAGTTAAACAATTTGGTTATTCATAATTATTAAAACAATGTTTGAATTTAAGTATCGCATTACTAATTGATTATAACATTATTAGAATTCTTGTGCAATTAATGTGAATTACATTTCACTTCAATATTATTAATAAACTTTGTTAGGAAGGGTTGTATGAGTGCTTGGAATTAAAATTAAAAACATGTTATTTAAATAATTGATTATATTTTTATATATCCTTTTCCTATCAATTCTTTGCATATTTTCTTATATAGTTATATTAATAATCATAAATCATTGCAGTTGCAGTAATTTTATTTAGATATATCTTTAATCAAGTGTTAATAATATTAATTTTATTAATCTAAAGTTTATAACAAAAATATTTGTTAAAATGGTTTACAAAATGTTAACATCATTGTTACTATTGTTAGTATTGTTACTATTGTTACTGTTATTATTGTGGTTAAATCAGACAGATATCGGTTCAAACAATTTGGAGACATTTAAAACCCCGGAAGAGTTTATAGTGAAGACAAACAATGAATTTGCGTTTAAAATGTTCAATACATTAGCAAAGAATGAAAATGATATATTGTCTCCCATTTCAATACTATCGGCACTCAGTTAAGAGTAATATAAAAATTTTATGTTTAAATAATAATTTTTTAATTATAGGTATTCTTATGAATGGAGCAAATGGTGAAACACTAAAAGATTTGAAACAATTCCTTCGATACAAGAATTCGTTTAGTGAAGTGAGCGATGAAACCATTAACACAGGATTTGAAGTTATAAACAATAAATATTATAATCAAAGTAATCACATGTTTATACTATTAAAATATCCTATTAGTTTATATTATTAAATGATATTTTAAATATAACATAACCACATTTTAAATTATTAGATTTTAAATTGTATGACTCGAAGAATTATAGACATCAATTAAATATTGCAAATAAAGTCATTCACAACAAAGATCTGCAACTATTGGACACTTTCGTCAATACTATAAAAGTGTATTATAAGGGAGACATACAATCGGCTGATTTTGTCAACAATGGGGTAATAGAGACGGAAAGAGTGAATGAATGGATTCGTAATAAAACCAATAATAAGATACAGAAAATATTTGATGAAATAAAACCCAACACTTCACTCATCATTTTGAATGCCATATATTTTAAAGGTATTTTCCACGTTATAATTATTATCAAACATTTTAATTATTTATATTAATAGGCAATTGGTTAGAAAAATTCTGGGAACAATCAACCAAAAAATTGGATTTTTATAACAATGGAAATAATGCCACAAAAGTGGACACAATGTTTGTGAGGAAAGAATTCAATTATTATGAGTCAAGTGAACTGAATTCAGAAGTTTTAGAATTACAATACGAGGGAAGAGAAATCAGTTTTATTATTGTTTTACCAAAACTACGAAATGGTTTACAAAAATTGAAAGCAAAGATTAATTTACAAAATCTCAAACAAGCCATACATTCGTTAAGACAGAGCGAAGTGGAGATATTTTTACCAAAATTTAAAACAGAGAAATTCTATGACTTAATGAATGAAATCAATCCCAAACCCATAGCACTGACAGATAGAGCAGACTATTCACGACTGAATCGAGATTTTGATCAAAAAGTGGCCGAAATTTTACACAAGACTTATATATCAGTGGATGAATCGGGAACCGAAGCCGCGGCCGTTACTGCCATACGAATGGTCTTACATTCGGCCACATATTATTTAAAAACTATTACTTTTAGAGCCGATCACCCATTCATGTACTTTATAATGGATAAAACCAATGGATTAATACTATTCTGCGGACAAATCAATAATTTGTAAAATAATTATTCGTTTCAATATATTATTTTTTATAACTGCATTTAATATTTATACATTGAAAGAAGCATGCATATTTAAAGCGTTAAAATTTTTGTTATAGATTCTATAATATAGAATATATTAATAATACAAAATTACAAATTGTATGACAAAATTGCATTAATATGAAATATAATAATGAAACTTTATTGAATACAACTTAAATATTGCGACATAATATTAATATTATATTAATAATTATAAACTATTTGTCGGCTTATACGTTAACATTAATCAATTTCAATTTATTAAGATTGATATATTTAATAAATTATGTTAAGTAACAATTTACTTTTAATTAAATTATTTTGTTACTATCAAAAAATATATACATTTATAATACTGTATAATCATATTATAAAATATTATATAATATAAACATATTAATATAAAATTTTTGACTAATTTAATAAATATTATTCAGATAAATATTCGAGTATGCAGTAATTTTTATTTAGATATATCTTTAATCGAGTGTTAATAATATTAATTTTATTCATCTATAATAAAAATATTTGTTAAAATGGTTTACAAAATGTTAACACCGTTGTTACTGACGATATTATTGCGGTTTAATCAGACAGATATCAGTTCAAATAATTTGGCCACATTTAAAACCCCGGAAGAGTTTATAGTGAAGACAAATAATGAATTTGCGTTTAAAATATTCAATACATTATCGAAGAATAAAAATGATATATTGTCTCCCATTTCAATACTATCGGCAATGAGTTAAGAATAATATAAAAATTTGTTTAAATAATAATTTTTTAATTGTAGGTATTCTTATGAACGGAGCAAATGGTAAAACACTAAAAGATTTGAAACAATTCCTTCGATACAAGAATTTGTCTAAAGAAGTGAGCGATGAAACCATTAACAGAGGATTTGAAGTTATAAACAATAAATATTATAGTCTAACAATAAGTTATACCAAGTTTATACTATAAAAATATCCGATTAGTTTATACTATTAAATGATTAAATGTTATTTCAAATTTAAGGTAGTGTTGAAACTGATGGCACAGATAAAAATGATACAGATAAAAAGACACTACCATATTTCGACTTATCTGATTATGAATGGTATGACCCGAAGAATTATAGACATCAATTAAATATTGCAAATAAGTCATTCACAGCAAAGATCTGCAACTATTGGACACTTTCATCAATACTACAAAAGTGTATTATAAGGGAGACATACAATCGGCTGATTTTGTCAACAATGGGGTAATAGAGACGGAAAGAGTGAATGAATGGATTCGTAATAAAACCAATAATAAGATACAGAAAATATTTGATGAAATAAAACCCGACACTTCACTCATCATTTTGAATGTCATATATTTTAAAGGTTAGAATTAAATTATTTACTATTTTTGATAATAAAACACTACAAAAAATATTCTGAATGTGTTTTAGAATTAATTTTTCTAACACTAATTGTTAATTTCTATGCATGATGGTAAACAATTTTAAATAAACTATTAAGTCAATATTTTTAATTAATTGTGTTAATAGGCTATTGGTTAGAGAAATTCTGGGAAGAGTCGACTCAAAAATTGGATTTTTATAACAATGAATATAATGCCATAAAAGTGGACACAATATTTTTGAGGAAACCTTTTAATTATTATGAGTCAAGTGAACTAAATTCAGAAATATTAGAATTGCAATACGAAGGAAACGAAATTAGTTTTATTATTGTTTTACCAAAACTACGAAATGGTTTACAAAAATTGAAATCAAAGATTAATTCACAAAATCTAAGACAAGCCGTAAATTCTTTACGTTTTTCCGGAGAAGTGATGTTATATTTGCCTAAATTTAAAGCCGAAAAAACCTATAATTTAATGGAAGAGATAAATCCCAAACCAATAGCACTGACATCTGGAGCAGACTATTCACGACTAAATCGAGGTTTGGGTCAAAAAGTGGCCGAAATTATACACAAGACTTATATATCAGTGGACGAAAAGGGAACCGAAGCGGCGGCCGTCACAGCCATAGAAATGATCAATTTATCGGCAACACATTATTCAAAAACTATTACATTTAGAGTCGATCACCCCTTCATGTACTTTATTATGGATAAAACAAATGGTTTGATATTATTTTGTGGACAAATCAATAATTTGTAAGATAAAATTTTGTCCAAATTTAAGTTACTCTCATATAATAATTTTACTAAGGTCATAAGTTATTAATAATACTTATTAAATTATT